AGTGCGAGCATGAGTAGGGGAGGGGCAGAGAGAGAGGGAGACAGGATCCGAAGCAGGCTCTGCACTGACAGCACAGAGCCCAATGCGGGGCTCGAACTCACAAACCGCGAGATTATTACCTGAGCCCAAGTTGCACGCTTGACAGACGGAGCCACCCGGGTGCCCCTCTTGTTGACTTCTAGCTTGGGGAAGTCATCTGCTCTTTCAATCTACCAAGACCAATCAGTTCCCATTCTTAACATGAGGAACTTACCAAACGGTATTATATCTGAAGAGTTTAGTTCAAAACCAATATCCTAGCGCATCGCCCAAGTAGAGAGATTTCACCGTAACCTCATAAAACGCATTCCTCACAGCCTCTCTCCTACTCGTGCAGACACGCCAAGTCAAGACCTGCTTCTGAGCATTACACCTGCTCTGCCCTGAACAACCACAGAAAATAATTAGGGGTAAACACCTTTTAGCGTCAGATGCATGAAGCCTCCTACCTGTCTGCCTTAAATGCCTTGACACGTTCGCTGAGAGTGGGTCCCAGACAGAAGGGGTTTCTCGCAGGCTGCCGTGGTGGCCACGCCACTGTGCTGGAGGACGCGGGGCCTGATATAGTTGGAATCTGGCCCCACGAACACAAAGCACCGAGCTGAGCACCACCAGGACTCAGACCCCACAAATACTGCTTCGGGTTTTCAACTGAGGAGGGAATCCAGCCCGTGAAAGGAGCCGCTGGATATGGGATTTGTGGGGGGGGGGGCCCTCCCTGATTCTGGGGCTCACCTGCTGGGTTGGCAGGAATATCCAGGATGGTCTTCAAGAGCTTCATGTCTTTGATGTTGTGGATGTAGATGGCCTCCTCCAGGCACACCAGCAGCCTCTGTAAGCACACAGACCCATCAGTCCACAGGGCCGGTTCCTCGGAAAGAAGCCGACCAAGCCGAAATCGCTCTCATCTTTCGTGCGAGCCCTGACTTGATTCCAAGCCGCCTAAAGGAGGCAGAATTTGTTTCTAATGTTTATTTACTTATTGTTTGGCGTGCACGGGAGAGAGAGAGCAGAGGAGGGGCAGAGAGAGACAGAGACAGAGAATCCCGAGCAGGCTCTGTGCTGACCGGCACAGACGGCGGGGCTCGAACTCACGGACCGTGAGATCGTGACCTGAGCCTGAATCAAAGAGTCGGGCGCTTAACCGACCAAGCCACCCGGGAGCCCCAGTAAGGGAGGTAGGATCTTGAGAATCCATGTGAAGATTATGTTCCCGTCTACACACGTGCACGCGCGCACACACACACACACACACACACACACACACACGTGAGCGCGCGCACCTGAACAGGAGCATAAAATACAAGATCTTAAAATTTCTCATTTAGAGATTGAGGTTCTTTTGGGGGAGGGGTACTTTTCCCTCTCTTTAGCACAGGGATTCCCGGACACTTCCTGATCAGACTCCCTTTGCCATTTAGGACAATTTGGGGGTAATCTTTTTGGTCCCCGTTCCCACCAAACAGGCTCCCTTTCGGCGCTCATAATGAAGCCTCCCTCTTGTACAGACGTGGGTTTCTTTGCTCTCTCTGTCTTGCCGATCGTAGGTATCATCCCCTCCGAAGAATCGCCAGCTCTACCTTCGTTCGACTCAAGTCTCCTCCAGACCCACCTCTGCGTACTCTCTCCAGCCCTCGTAAAGGGAATTGGAAAGCCCTTCCGCCCTTGTGTGTACCTCCTGTCCCAGGTGCCCCCCGCCCCGTGCCCGGCTCCTTCCGCTGGGCCCCCCTTTCCAGTGCAGGGAGACCCTTCTCTTTTCAAATGAGGCTTTCCAGGCGTAGGGTTTCCTCCCGATGGCCACGCTCTCGACCGAGTGGAAACAGGCCACGGGGTGGACGTTGGGTGCGTAAAGGGACAGAACACGTAGCTCAGCACCAGTAGAGACGCTGGGTGCCGGTGAGGGGCTGTCGGGAAGGAAGTTTTGGTGGGGTAGCTCTTTCCTCACTCTGAGCAGCTGCCCACGACCCCTACACACATCCGACTCGCTTTCCTCTAAGCTAGTGGTTCTCAGGCTCTGAGGAGGCATCCGAGCACCTGAGGGGCAAGGCCTGGCCTATCCCTGGAAATTTTGGTTTGGGGGGTTTCAAACAAGTACCCTGGGTGATTCTGATGCACACCTAAGTCTGAGAACCACTGTTCTCAGGCCGGATCCTTTTATCCTAAAAGACAACACTTGGAGACAAAGGCACCTAAAAATACTACAAACC